CATACTTGATATAACACTGTATGAGTGTTTATTACAGTACTGTATACTTGATATAACACTGTATGAGTGTTTATTACACTATATCAGGCTACATAAGATTGTATGTGTTTACTATAACGTAACAAGGGAGCCATAACACTGTATGAGGGCGCTGTGACAGTGTATGCGAACACTAACATTTCATGATACAATAACACTGCATGTGGGTGCTACACAGCATTCTCGTAATGAGGGCATGGTAACAGTATATGAGGGTGCTGTAATAAAGTATGAGGGCGCTATATAACACTGCATGGGGGTGCTACTGTGCCATTTTCAGATTTTGGTTATTTTATACACATTTGTATTAGACATCAACTTCATTACATTCCTTGACTTCCAATATACACAGCAACCTGTTGTCATAGTAACCAGTTGTCAAGGTTAACTATATTATAGTATACAGTAACCTGTTGTTAAGGTGAACTGCACTAGTACATAGCAAGCTGTTGTCAAGTTGAACTGTACCCACTGGTCCCAGACACAGAATATTCCTTGTTGTTTTTCAGACAACAGTTCTATACAATCCAGCATGAACTCCTACTCTATTGTTAACCCCCTAACCTCCTAATCATTTACTTGTCTACCCATATGCTTGTAATTAATCAAAACAAGTAAGTCACTGAGAGAGAAAAAACACATTTATCCTTGAGAATTCTCGCATGAACGATTTGCAAAAACTGTGTTTGTATTCTGAGCAGTACGTAGTTGGTTATTTGCTACAATTCTTTTTTTAGATGAACTTTAACCCTAACCGACTGACAATCTAATACTTCAAGGAATTCAGATTAGACATTTAATATTTCAATATAAATACAGTATTTTGACTAAATTTGAAAATTAGCATTTCTTTGACTAAAATAATATCCTGTTATATTTAATCTGCATTTTCATTGTAAAATTGAGTGGTTTTCTGTTAAACACTACTTAGCAAGCAAGTATCATACAAGTACTAAATTTTAAAACAAGTATTTTCACCAGAGAGAGTGATTGTTGCCAATGAAAGACGATAAAATAAAATCTATTTTTAAAGCAGGAGCTCCATATAAAAGACAAATTGCAATGTGTGGCTCCATTAGAGATGTACTCCAAATAATACAAATACAATACATGCAACTAATGAACTCAGTGGTAACAACTGGGTGTATGAGGTAACAACTGGGTGTATGAGATAACAACTGGGTGTATAAGGTAACAACTGGGTGCATGAGGTAACAACTGAGTATATGAGATAACAACTGGGTGTATAAGGTAACAACTGGGTGCATGAGGTAACAACTGGGTGTATGAGGTAACAACTGGGTGTATGAGATAACAACTGGGTGTATGAGATAACAACTGAGTATATGAGATAACAACTGGGTGTATGAGGTAACAACTGAGTATATGAGATAACAACTGGGTGTATAAGGTAACAACTGAGTATATGAGATAACAACTGGGTGTATAAGGTAACAACTGGGTGCATGAGGTAACAACTGGGTGCATGAGGTAACAACTGGGTGCATGAGGTAACAACTGGGTGTATGAGGTAACAACTGGGTGTATGAGATAACAACTGGGTGTATAATGTAACTGGGTGCATGAGGTAACAACTGGGTGCATGAGGTAACAACTGGGTGCATGAGGTAACAAATGGGTGCATGAGGTAACAACTGGGTGTATGAGATAACAATTGGGTGTATAAGGTAACAACTGGGTGTATGAGGTAACAACTGGGTGTATAAGGTAACAACTGGGTGCATGAGATAACAACTGAGTATATGAGATAACAACTGGGTGTATGAGGTAACAACTGAGTATATGAGATAA